AATTATTTCATAAAGGCATTAACAATGACACAAGACAAAAGTTCAACAAATTCTACGCATGAATCATCCAGTAGGTACTAACTTCGAGAGCAGTTAAAATGAAGATGCACAAGAAAGCGTAATTTCCCAATGACATGATATGGCTGTCACAATGCTTAGCCGCAATCACCTCTTTTTGTAGTTGAAATGGTAAGTAATTTTTGAAATTATCCGATAAAAATCTAAAATTGATACCATATTGAAGACAAATCAATTCTACACATGAATCAGGGTGTATCTTTGAGAAGAACTTGAAAGTTTAGGTGTGATAAGAAAAACAAATAAAAATGAACCATTTTCCCATAGACTTTGTATTGGCTCCAAAATCGCATGGATCCAGAATTTCTGGAAGTGCCCTCGCCACAACTGCACGTGCGCTGCGCTCGAAAATGATCACGTGACCAAATCCAGATGAGATCACCGTATTTATAGGGGTGAGACTAAATGCTTACTTCGAAATCTAAGCTGCGTTGCGGCATTGGCGGTTATGTGCGGCGTGTATGCCGCATGATTAGTAAGCGGCGACCACTAAATTAAAAACTCAATAGCTTTGACCTGTTTTCAATGGATAACACTGCATACCAAAAATGTCCATCGCTCTCGTCATAGGATATTTAGATTTAAATAACTAACTTATCTACATCATTGTTTTGAACCAAATTAATACTCAGCCGCGAACGTATAAGGTATAACCCCTTGCCGTTTCGCTCCTGATCAAGCTAGAGCTTCGCGGAAAAAGCGAGCGTGTTGCCCGTGACGAGAGAAAGCCGATGATACCCAATTTTAAGGTCCTAGGTCATCGGTTGACCTTCCAGGTCAGGTCAATGACCCAAAAGGCGGGAAAATTGGGACCTGTTAGAACGTCGTAGTGTGGCTGCTATGGGGTTTTTCGGGGTGCTGATCACGAATATCATGCTAGTTTTGATCACAGATGATGTCTTCATTCATTTAGGCCAGGTCGGGTTAGGTCAGGTCAGGTCAACCAGTAGAGGTCCTGCCAGGTATTTGTAGTAAGTGTCAACCGCCTCTGACAGCCTCGTAACATGTTACGAAGGCACCAAAACTACTTTGTAAACGTTCATGTGGTTGCTTAATTCGAATTCAGCTCGAAAAAAACTGACCTAGAAACATGTCAAACTCGAAAAAGTGAACCGAGGTCACCAAAGGTCAATGACCTGACCTGACCTTCAGGTGACCTTGACACCCACCCTAATGCATAGGGGCAACATCATATCACATGTTTGAACGCTTGAAACCACGAAAAGACTGCAAACGCGCTGCTAATGCGAGCCGACATACGCTGAATCGCGGTTCCGGCCAAACATGGTCTCGAAAAGTAGGTCACAGGTCAAAGGTCATTTGGGTCAGGGTCATGAAATTTTCAGGATGGGTGTTAAATTGATCAATGCGAGGGTACTGAAAGTTTCGTCGCGATCAGCCGCTTTTTAAGCGAGTTATTCGCGAAAAACCTTAGGGGGGTTGCATCAACCCCCCCCCCCCTGTGCGGGCGAGGTCATGTTTTGATAGCAAGACTGAAACAGACTTTTTTGGGTAGCCAGGAAATCGCATGCCAGAGCCTATTCAAATTCTTTTATCGGCCTTTATATGCACCAGTCGCATACAGGTACGGGATTTAGCATACGATTTCCAGACAATCGAAAGACTGTTTGGAGAGAGAGCCGCTTACTAATCATGCGGCATACACGCCGCACATAACCGCCAATGCCGCAACGTAGCTTAGATTTCGAAGTAAGCATTTAGTCCCACCCTATTTATAGTCACCGTGGTTTTAGCGTTGTCAAATATATCGGCCACAGGCCTTCAGTTTTCATCACCTATTGGATATTTCACTGATGAAGGCCTGTAGCCGATATATTTGAAAAACGCTAAAACAATATTATTTTGTCTCAGCATATTTTTGAAAAGGAGGAAAGGTCATGACAATAAAGAAATACTTGGTCTGAGATACTCTACAAAGAATTTGACACTGAAAATCCAGCTGAAAAGGTAGGTATTAGGTAGCCCTGAGCCTGAATTTCGTCCCAAAAATGAAAAGAAAATTCATTAAACTGGCATTTTGTCTTATCTTTTCAAGAAAACACAATATGCAGACAAAACTAATACAAAGTGGCGCAAAACAATAGAAGAACCAAGGATTGACTTTTAAGATCCTCTCTTTCCTAAGGAAAGGATGTAAGATGATGACGTAATATTTATTTATATGCCCTTTTGGTTGGTTGCATTATTGGAGGGAAATTATATTTCTTGTAGTGAATTACACTCACAATGTTGATTTCATTAGAATTCAATATCGTGTTGGAGCATTTACACCAATAAAATCGTTCACGAGGCAGCATGTAACAATCCAAAAACTTTTTTTCCGCAACTTAATCAGCTGGTTTAAAGTCACTGTTATGGCGCATCTGTTTCGAACTCCTTGATAACCTTGTGTTTGGAGATGATGTGGAAGATTCCAGAAAGCGGACATGGCCGGATCTGTAGTTTTATCAAGATTCCTATGTTTTTATGTTGTGGTCATCTAGATTTCAAACAGTTGGTTGGTACTTGCACTATTTTAGGAGAATGTGGAATAAGTAGAACACCTGTGCAATGTAAATGTGATCAATAGGCTAAGTGCTAACTGTTCAGTCTTCAGAAACACATTTCAGTAATTCAAGTTCTTTTTGTCCTTGCTTTTTGATGACTGTTAAATGATTTTTGTAGGCAATACCTCTTTGATTACAGGTGATATTTTGAGTTATAGACTGTAATTGAGTTTCAAAATTGTGTGTATTTGTGGGGCCAACTGAGTCAAAATCAGCCTGCTTGTAGTTGTGGTTGTACCTATAAAGGGTGGCTGCTGCCTTCTGGTTGAGATGGTTACTGAACTTGTAGCCTTTGGGCTCTAATCATTAGCATCCCAATAAATTTCATTTTAACTAGGCAAACATGGAATGCTGTCTTTTTTTGAAAATGGTTTCTTTCACTGATAGGGTGACCGAAAGTGTCCGATTTTGGGGGGGCCTGACCGACCGATTGCCGAATCGGTCAGCACATCTTTTCGGTAACCGAATTTTTCGGTAACCGATTGACACCATTAGTGTATACTGATGTGTGCACCGATTGTTTATGTATCCATATTACATAAAATAATGATCTGAGAAGCTTTTACCAAAAATGCAGTCAAAAAACTTCACGAAAAGTAAATTCAGCTTGCCTAAAACGCAATTATTTTAGATGACCTAGGTTGACCTTGACCCTGACCTTGACATCTGTACATCGTCGAACAACATGTCATGTTCCATGATAGGTGGGAGGTAAGACTGGCAAAAAAAACGCCGAAAGCAACGTGTCAAAAGCTCACAAGGCCCATAGCCAACGCAAGATGTTGAGAACTGGTCAGTTGGGTCATGACATGACCTGAAAAACAAGGTCATATATCCCAAACCAAAAATCACAGAAACTTGAAATTTTCAGTGGACCTCAAGAAAGGATGGAGGAGCAGCTATACGAAAAATCAGCCTTCAAAATGTTGAGGTCAGAGCAGAAAGACTACCTGGGGGGGGGGGGGGGGGTGTCAACCACCACCACCCCATGTGCGGGCGAGGGTTTAAGCTGGTTAATTCTTCTTGCACCAGGTGGCAGCACTTCTTTTCCAAAATCAGTGCTTGTATTTCCAAATTCGTGATTTCCTCGCTGAGGAGTGAAATCGGCTTCATCGTTGCCAAAAATGGCTGATAGCGTTGTCATTTTTGGCACATGGTTGCCAAAAATGGCATGTGCTAAAAATAACAACGATTGATCAAACCTCCCCCGACTGCCCTGTTAACCCGGCTGTTGCTGGGGTATTTCGCCACCCACCGTTTGCTAGGGGGGGGGGGGGCGTTAAACGCCTCCAGCCGATAACTCGAGAACCAATAGGCGCAGCGAAACGCATGAGGCGGCAAATGAAAGGGCGCGACGAGACGCTTCAGATGAGTGCTTTAAAGTTGAATTTAGAGGTCACAGGTCAGGTCAAGGTCAGTTCAAACACCTGAAATCGGGCTTCCAGTAGCATGGACTTCAGGACTTCGCAATGGGCGCCTCTCGTCATAAACTCTGTCAAAACGGTGCACAATCCTTCATATAAGGCCTACAAGAGTGTCAGTTCCATGTAGGGGTCAGTCAAGCATAGGTCAGGGTCCAGGTCAGGTCAACCGGGTAGGCACATATCCCCGAAAATCAAAACTGATATTCGCAGCCTGTGACACATGTTTTATGGGTGATTTTGGGCGTAGAACACGATGGTGACATTCATTTTATCATATGTGTACGTGTTTGGTTAAAAAAGTTCAATTTAAGAAATGCATGTATCATGGTCGTGAAGTATAGTCACGAGAAATTGCCAAGATTCAGTTCAAGATTTTGGGAAATGCGGAACGATAATCAATAATCGAAGATAGTCATTTGATTGTTCATGGTATTTGCAGTCTAATGGCGTTTACGGCATATCTGTATATCTATTCTATGATTTTATATGATTTTTTGAACATATGCCGTTTTTGGTCGAAAACTCAGAAATCATGACGTCACTAAAACCTCGATATCTAAAAAAATTCCGACCGATTTTTTTAAACTTTGTCACAATAAATTGATCAATTCCCTACAGGTATTCAAATTTTGGCGCGCCTACGGCGCGCCGTTTTTATGTTATGGCTCGGCAAAAAAGTGGGGGCGTTAACGACCCCCCCCCCCCCCCAGGAACTTGCTGGTTAATATACACTTATCATGTTGAAATTCAAATCGCGGCATAAGCATATTGCACTATGAAGATATTATTATAAGATTGAGTGGATGCAGCAGCTGCAGCAGCGCGAGAAGGGATCTGGCTGCGCGACGCCGACCCCTGGGTCGTCTCGGCCTCCCCGGCTGGCCGTTCGGGGAGGCGCTACGCCCGACGGCCGGACAGCGGACAGCGGCGGGTGCCAGAGGGCCCGCTGGCCCAGTGGCCCGGTGCAGGTGACGCAGGGCGGAGGTCAGCGCGCGCTCTCGCCACAGCAGTGTGCCCACCGACAGCCGTGCCAACTCACGGCCGCAATGGGTAAAACAGCCGCCAACGGTGCACCCGATCCGCAGGAGGCGGAGAAGGGCTCGGCCGCCCGAACGCTGGGTGCCGCACACGGAGCGCGCACGCGCACCGACAGCTGCGGAATATACTCCTGGCACAAAGGTATTGGCAGCCGGAACACTGGCCAAACGGGTACTGGGCATGAAGGGAGTTGAGGCTTAACCCTCGCCTGTATTGGTGTTTTGTCCAGGTGGGTGACGGCACGTGATCGCCTAAGGCGGTGGGGTTAGAAATGTTTTTGTCGCTTAATGCTCCATGCAATTTCTGCGACTTTTTGTAAGACGTTCACCTTTTCTCGCTTTAAACTGCTGGGTTCCAAACGATGACTATCCTCACGCAAAATAACATGAATTGAGCTAACAACTGAGTCCCAAAAACGCATAGAAAATATTTTTTAAAAACTTCTTTTGAGGAATAATTACGGAGCGAGCGAAGCGAGCGTAGTCTTTCCTTAGATTAACCCTCTAGTGCCCCCGGTATCATATCTGTAAGTCAATTTGCAGAAAATTCGCGTGCTAATCCTGAAGGCGAAAATTGTTGAAAACCCTGCTGTATCAGAAGTGGTACGTCTTGGCAACCACCTGGTGGCAAAATTTTTAAGTAATGATTTCTCAGTTTCCCACCAGGTGATTTTGAAGAGGGTCAGTTTGTCCTTTGCTGAAAAGCTATTTGAGATGCAAGTGTAAATTTTAGCATTTAAAAAACAAAAAATAGTTATTTGGAAAGAAACTTGGTATACTGTGAGACAAATGTCCAGCATTTATCACAGTACGTTGCAAAACATCGCAGCTATTTCAGGGTCAAAGATATGGACCCCTAATTTGGGGGATACTAGATATGATACAGTGGGCATAGCACTCCAATATTTTCTATGAAATTTTCGCCGCTGCAACATACGGTGTGCCAATACCATAGTTTTCTCAGGTGATAAGCATTGCAATGGCCTGTGAGTCATTGAAAATGACGATGGTACAAGATGCATAAATTTGTGAAGTTCGCACCTCTGGCGTCAGATAACTCTATTTCGCTCCAGACTCGATATTTCATAACAATATTCGTACGCTTATGCCGCCTCTCATCCTTGTCAATCACCTAACATCTAGCTGTCCATGAGTGGCCTTACGTGCCTCATACATCTCGACTTTTCTAACGCTCATAGGAATCTGGTTTTCCAACTGTTTGACGATGATAACAGTGAACTTTTTGATCTGCAGGACACTAGCAGACCATATCTTCTAAAACCACGTTAGGAATGACATGCCATCGATGACAAGCTTGTTGATTTCAAGGGACGATCATCCGTGCAAGCATTTATACTCGTGAAACCAAAATTGAGACTTGACTATGTTTGGGAAAGGAGGATTCAGCGGTCTCTTGCACAATTTCGATATTCCAACAGGGTTTGTGGACGGGCTTATGTCTTGTGGGTCTATGTCTTAGCTGGGCATGGCCGAAGACTTGCATTAGCAGCCAGCCAGCATTTTTCATTCATATTGGAGAACGACTCACAATTTGTTTGCGATTCAAATCCCCTCCGTTCATCCCAGTAGTAAGAGATTGAATGTGGAGTGGAAAACTACACCGTCATCGTCAGAGGAAGCTAGCTAAACGGACTCGCCATGAAGACAGACGTCAAGACCGAAGGACGTGGTTCCTTTGATTTACGCATCCAAGAAGTAGGCAACCATGCACTGCTGCCAGGATCCAGCAGGTGCCTGACACCTGGCAAAAATTTTTACTGCCAGGTATGTCATTTGTTGTCATATATTGACATATGCCGCCAAGTATGGTAGCTGATTGCCACTGAACAAATAGGCTTTATACTAAAACATGGACACTGACCATAAGAATACAAGTTAAAGTGCGGCATTGCGTACGCTCACCTCCATATGAGGTCAATGAACATTGTGCAAGTTCCTGCCGATCGGTACACAGTTACCTGTACCTTTGCTGTCTGACACGTACAATTACGGTTACTGCACTGGTCACTGGTCAGTGCGCGGCTGTTGTACTGACGCCGATGACATGAGGACCGCACGACCAGTCAAAGTGCTAACTGACGATTCACAGGCTGAGAGTTTCAGTCACCAGGGATTGTCCGGCTATCGTGAAGATAAACCAACATCGTCTTTGGCATTGATTCCGGTCCGTCGGCAGGCTGTCCAGCATTTTGCATCAGAACTGCTTCACTTCGACCACTTACCGACCAACCGTAATGTCTTCATTTTTGTATCAAGTATGTATAATGCACGTTTGAGAAGCATGGCCCACATGTCTGAATTTGAAAAAATGCACAAGTGCAACGCGCTGTATCGTGGAAATTAAAGGAATAGAAGGCACTCGTAAAAAGATGCCTATGATTAGCGTTGTTCCCTTAGTACCGACTGAAAGGGCATTTTGATACAAGTAGGATGCCAATGAAATATTAAGAAAATGTTATGATAAGTGGCGCACAGTAAAGGATTTCTTGTTTGCATTTTACACATTTTAACTGCCGCTTTTATCTCTGAATTTTTTCAAAACATATATCTCCTCATCTATGTCTTCACTTCCTTCTGTGTGGTCTGATACCACTAAAAATAACCAAGTGGAATGCCCAATGTATCATATTTGATACACAAATTATTTCCGAAATTTGAACTGCGAAAAAATTTTTGACTTCAGATTTCGAACAAGGGACCCAAAATGAATCATAGGTCACGAGGTGCTAATTTTAGGAACCGTGGAACTATGTGTGGGCATTAGAGGGTTAACAGAAATTTCTGAGTATGAGCGGCCGGCCGGCCGGCCGGCCGTGCGGACGCTTTTGCGAGGCTTATATCTCAGCAACCACTTGACCGATTTACATGCGGTAATTTTTGTAGGGTTGCTTCATTCCTTCTACCAAGTATTGGACTATTCCCGATGCATGTGGGTGACCCCTTATGCACGTGCCACGTGCAAAACGAAGAGGTGTCAGTTTTGTAATTGTTGCAATATCTCGGTAACTACTTGGCCGATTGCGCTGAAAGTTGGCATGTAGGTAGGCACCCACTGGGCACTGCATATCCATGTGCCAGAGTTGGGGTGCTGCTGCACATGCGCACGTGCAGGGGTCGATTCCAGATCTCGAGAACGGCTGGACCGATTGCGCTCAAATTTGGTACACAGTTAGGGACCGGTTAGTAGCGTGCCGTGCAAAAGTCAGTCGGGACCTATTTTGCACGTGCGCACGTGCAGGGTGCTGCTTCCAGATCTCGAGAACGGCTGGGCCGATTGTGCTCAAATTTGGCACATCGCTAGAGACCGGTTAGAAGGGTGCCTTGCACAACTCAGTTGGAGGTACCCCCTCGCAATTTCGCACGTGCAAGGCTCACTCTCTCGCTCGCTCCGGTAGTCGCCCCAAAAGGCGTTATACTGGTTGATTAGTGATTATCTTGATTGGTATTGGGGCTCACAAAGCATGTTTCAGAAATGACGCGCCACATAAATTGGCGCAAAAAGACTCTGTTCAAAGATCTCAGACATGCCGGTGATCTAGATTATGCATCAGGGCTCAGGGCTCGGAATCAGTACTCGGTCCAGGGCGGACTACTGCGTGCTGATCTGCTTCAGTATTCGAAAATATTTCATGCAAAGTGTACTCATGCAAATCATTTTGCTCATGCAAATCATGTTTCATGCTAGTAGTGCTAATCAGTTACCAAAATTTCGGTATACCAGTCGGGGAAACTGTGGTCAAATCTTCCATTTTTGGAAGCGTTCCATTTTTGGAATGATTTTCCATAGATGGGTACGCATCTTCCAAAAATGGGTACGCTGACGACGTCATCGTACCCAAATATAGAAAATGTTGCGCATATGTTGGAACTTACTGATTTCCACCGACCATGAGGCAAATGCGACTATCGCCCCTGGTCGCTTTCAATTCGCCATAGTGAAGTGTACATAAGCTGGCGTGGATGTCTAAATCCTAGCGTGGATGTAATTTATGTAATTTTTCAAAGTAATGAGTGGTGGAAAATTGACAAAAATTTACCAACAAACGATGGTTTTATAGTATTTTATCAAACATTTTGTAAGCAAAAAGCATCAAAAACGAAAAGTAAATATCCTTAAAAGTACTTTAGTGATGGGCCATGCTTGTTTGATACCGCCGACTATGTTTACAGTGCGGATTGTCGGGACGGAGTGCGGGGTCTCCGGGATGGTAGTGGCTAGTAAAACATATATTTGTTGCTGTTTTCTGCATTTATTAGCATATTGCGTGGTTGATTTCAAAATTTTAAGGCTTTTGCCAAACATTTGGGTGGAGTTCTCGTCATTTTTTAATGTTTTCCTGGAATATGGGACGAATTAAATAGGCGTTGGTGCGCCGTTTTTCGTGTTACTTTCTATCGAAGGATTGCATGAATCTTCAATTTATATGAGGGATAGTAACTTTAATTTAAACCATTTTTTGTCAGGACTATAGCTGTGTTCCTCCTGGTTGGTTATTGACCAGCTGTTTTCTCTTCTGAATTATGACTCCTCTATAGAAGTAGAAATAGGAGCAGTGCACCAGGACACCATGCTATTATATCACTATCTACTCTGACATAACGTGCCTGTATTACCACTTACCAGCACTATAGCACTGCTGCTTCTCCTTATATCGTTGATCCTAAATGGCAAAATCAGCCATTAATGTTACACATTTAAAAGGGCTGTAACTTAAATCAAAGGATGGGAATCACAGTTGGGAACACTGAGATTAGACCTTCCGCCTTCCATTTTTGGAAAATGCATACCCATTTATGAAAGGTCCTTCCAAAAATCAAAAGCTTTCAAAAATGGAAGATTTGACCATGAGTTTCCCCCACTGATGCCGATACCGAACTAATACCGATTCGGTATTCGGTATTATATACCAAAAGCATTTGGTATTTTGTCGGTATTAGAAAATCGACTGCTGGCTGCTGCCATCATATATTTGAGAGTATTTTTTGAAAACCTTCTGAACTAAAACTTGATTTGTTAAATGGCATTGGGTGAAGAGAAAAAGCAACCATGACACATTTCTCCCCAACGCTTGATGTCATAACAAATGGGGCACAAACTTTAACTGTACTACCAAACACATC